GTTTTCCGTTATGAGGTGATAGAAAAATGTGTAGATATATTTGTCTTACATTTGGTGGAGAATGTACAGTATATAAATGTTAACTTCTGATGTTGTTTGGATAATTACGTCTTGCCATATGTCTTGATAGGAATTTGTATATATATATATATATATATATATATATTTGATTCCTTTTGCGTTCCGAGTAGAACACAGGGCTTGAGGCCTCCTAAGCTTTGAAGTTTCACTAGGAGTAGTTCATTTTTACAGGATTGGAATGCTAGCCTCACTCCTAACAGTCTCTCTTTACCGGACTGACTACCGGATTAGTGAAGATTAGGAGTAGGTTGACTGGGATTGAACCCCAGATCATATAAGGTGTAGTTGGTACGTATTCTACTACCACTGAACCAATAACTCACACGAAATTTGTATATGGCGATAACAATTGTCTATTTTGCTCTCTATAGTTTCATGAAGGTAGTTAATTTGGTATGGTCACTGAATATTTTACGTGAATATCGGCCAATGGTAATGAGTGTAGATTTCGTCACGAACAGCCATGAGCTAGAGATCATTAAAAACCACACTGAAATTATTCCAAATACCAATAACAATTTGATCTCCAGCGCATTGATGGCTACTGGATAGGTATCCTAAAGTTTTATTAAGAAGTCGTGAGTATCGGGGTCCATCATATCAACATAAAGTAGATGTTCATCGAAGGAACTGGTTAAAGATACTGCTATATCATGAATTGATGAAGTTAGAATTAACGGGGTATTGAATTGCAATCCAAGCGGTTGAATAGTCAACGAGTTTGGTTTCATAACCTAGTGTTATCAGTTTCTATTCCAGTTAGAATCTTGGATATGTACTGCTATACACAGTTCCAAACTAGGAGGAAACAGCCGTCTAGCGCTTCCTTGTTTTCAGTTATCTCTCTAACTGATGTTGTTTTGTGATAAAATCTGCATTGAAATTAGACCCTATTCCTGAAATAACCCTTAATCTAAATTTCTCAGTAGATTTCTGTGGTCTTAACCAGTAATGGAAAATTCACCTGATACTGAAATGTGTATTCCAACAGAGTGAGCAGGAAATAACAATATAACAGCAATAATGTTCGAAGTATTATCATGATGATTAAGCGTGAAGCAACATAGGTACAGTACTAGAGATGTCTGTCTATGTAGTGGAATCTGACTGTTTGACTTACGGGTTGGCCACTCACGAAATCTCAGTACTGATACAGAAGACTTGTTTAGCATTCATCAACATGCTCAATCTCTGGCGTAGACGTGGTATCTGGCTGTCGACCGAGGGGCGTTCATCCTGCTCAGCAGTTCGCTCTGTTGTTCTTTATGGCAGTGAGCCAGACATGGTCACTGACAGTGTCTTTGATCATAGGTGTGCCTGCGTTCTATCTCCCGTGTTAAATAGTATAATAAGGTGAACAATATTGAGGTTAAGCGTTGATTGCTAGGCAAGGAGGGGAAATCAGTCGACGAGGTTGCGAAATCGTGACATCGAATGAGATGGTTAGGACACGTGTTACGCTTGCCTAGCCACCGCCTTCATTGATGGGTGGTGTTAGCTGACATAGGATTAGGTTGGAAAAGAGCCAGTGGTGGTCAAACCAAAAATGGCATCAGTCATTGAAATCCATAACAGTTAGTTTAAGCAAGTCACGTAAGGAAGTGTAGACTGCTGTCTGGTTGGGTTCTTCGGGATGGTTAAAACCAATGAAGGCTGGTGATATGGCTCAAATTCATTCTCAGTGATGGCGCAGATGCATCCACTCCTTGTGACTGATAATATCTTCGATATTACTATACTTTTTGTCTGACATCTCTGTTCTGAATGTTGAACTGCCGCACATCTGTGCAAAGCTCTACTTTGAAATCAGTCAGTCAATCAGAAGCCGATATTTATATCGTTCGAGTTCTGACTGTCAAGCTAGTCTACAGTTGTTCATCACAGGGTGGTGTCTTTCACCTTATTTGCAGTAGATGTGTGTGGTTCAGTGTACTGTTGCGCTCAATACATATCGGATATGCAGTTAGGTGTTTGAATATCGCATTTACCAAGAAATAGTAGCTGTTGATTGAGATGATGACAGTTTGCTTAACAACTATTTCATACATTTAACGCAGTAATTTGAAGTTGGAAATCTGGATTACATTTCTTCAGTGTGTTTGACATTCATAAGTTACTTTCATTGACTGAAAATAGTAGACTTGCGGAATCGTTAGACCATGAGCACTTATCTATCGTCTATGCTTCCTTGAGTTTCACTAAATGACAACAATTTATGGTAAAAATGATTAGAAATGAGTAACTTTGTTGTTCATCTTCAAAATGAGTATATACATATATATGCGTCGGTGGCATAGCGGTTAGGACGCTCACCAACCGTACACATGGTCCGAGGTTCGATCCCCGGCCACCGACGCACTTCTTTACCTCGCTAAGGCAGAAATAAACCTGGTAAAGAGGAAAGGTTGGGCATGAGGCTAGGAACCCCATCCTGTAAAATAAACACTGCTACAGAAACTTCAAGCCACTAGCTTGGAGCCCTATGTTCCACTGGGTAAGTGAAGGAGAAAAAAAATATACATATATATCGTGCATAGAGAAACCTCATTTAGTTTTAAGTTGTTTTTGGGGGCAGATTAGGGTAAGGACTCACGTATTTCAAATGTTGCAGCAGACCAGTAATAAAATAAAACAATACCTGCGCATATATATATATATATATATATGAGTATTAAGCATGTGGCTTTGTTGTTACTGGTTGTAGATTTCTGGCTATCAAATACTACTTGATGAGTTTCAATCCTTCCCTTTATACGATTGATTTGATCCAATGATTATTTTCAAAACCCCTTTATACATTAACTAACTATGGCATACAGTTTAAAAGTAAAGGTGTATTTTGCACGTCTCTGAGATAACTTATCATCTCTATTATACTTAGTAATTCCTGCATAATTTTATTTCATCCATTACAACACATCTGTGAGTGTAAATATTTACGTTTAGCATTCCAAAAAAAAATTCGAATATTAATAAAAGTTGGGTACAGTAATAAAGTTGCTGAACTTTTAGTTTGTATTTGTATAAAATAGATAATGTGTAAGTTGACAGTATTCTGTGCAATAATATATGTGTACATATGTTTACTTTATCTAAGCTAAAATCCACTTTTATGAGGTTAGACAAATTGTTTATTGATGAACAATACTACCTATCTACCTGACCATGAATCACTTGTCATATAATAAAAGAATAAACTAATAATGATGTTTTTACGAGTTTGACCACGGATTGATATCTGTTAGAGAACCATTCAAAACCAGCAGGGAGTACTGGACAGCTGTTTCATCGTAGTTTGGGAATCATCGGCAGTACACACCTCACTGGGATTCCAGGAAACTCCGCGCTGTAGCAAATCTCGAATTGGTAGAAGTTGGAATTCCTGCGCTATTGAATTGGGTCCCAGTGACTGAATGGTATATGAGCTCACTAGCCTTGTGACGGGAAGGTCCTGGGTTCGAACCCTGTGGTGTGTGCGAACTGGCGATGATTTGCAAACTAGGATGAAGCTGCTGGTTTCCAATGATTCTCTAACTGATATCAATGTGTGGTCAAACTCGTAAAAACAAATCTAATCCTTCCTAACCAACTCTTGATAATAATGATGTGTTGTAAGAATTCAAGTAACGGATTTCTACATATTTTTACGTCTATTTCATCATAATTCTACTTACTATTCTTTTTTTATGTGGCTATTTAAGCCATATTCTTTATGATTAACACGATGGGCACAGTTTTCAACGTCGTTTTTACACGATCCCTATATTATATTTACCTTTCAAAACATGTATTTTAGAGAAAAGAAAGAAAGAAATGTCCTTAATCTTGATCAGGCTATTTTTGTAACATATAAGTCAAGAATGACTCAAAGATCCAGGCTTTTATAAACTGTCATATTCCATATTATTGCACAGAAATGTTATAGCGGGAAAAAAATGCGGGAAATCAGTAATCTATACGGGTGTATAGTTAAAAAACAACAACAACAACAACCGATCCTGACCTTTTACACTGTTGACCCCATATTAGCATTTCACACTGAAGTATATAGTCTGTGTGCATTGTTTTTTCCGGTTTGTTAATTCCCCATGTATTATTATTTGTTCTTTCTTTTTATGTCTTATTGAGAAATTAATCAACTGTTTGTCTAGATTGTAAAACATTGGACATAAAACTAAGTGGTATGGAAATCCTACTTTCATGCTTCTGAATTTAATTCTGAATTTTACTTCACTCTAAGAGTTTTCATCAGTCGTTATAAAAAATATATGTAACTCATTGTCAATCAACTATTCGTGCATGTAGTTGTTGAGAGTTACATCAATTTATTGTACTACCCTATTGTCCAAAGTGAGGCAAACTGTGTATATGAACTTGTGACTTATATGATAAACTTTTATACGCGAGAGTTGACTATGTGTTTCCGCTTCCCAAGTGATAAATTGATATACTTAAACATTTAATACACACATTAAACTTGTAACTTTTGAAGGTTTCCTTTTATTGACTTTCCGTCTCTTTCATTAATTAAATATTTAATGAAATGAACTCTGGCTTCCGATTTCAGGCCGTCTGTTAAAGATATATATATATATATATATATATATATATATATATATATATATTCCTTTACGTTCCCAGTGGAAAATAGGGTTTCAAGCTAGAGGCTTGAAGTTTCTGTAGCAGTGGTGATTACTTTTACAAGATGGGAGTTGTTAGTCTAGTGCCCAATCTTCCCTTTTTACCAGTGTTACTACTGGCTTAGCGAGGTAAAGGAGTGCGTTGGCCGGGAATCGAACCCCGAACCACCTGCGTGCTCGGCGAGCACTCTATCGCTGTGCCACCGAAACATATATATATATCTTTATTTTTATGTTGTTTTCTAATGGTCCCTTGCCTTCGTTTTATCCATTTTTCAGCTTTTAATGCTTGAACCTAAACGTCGAACTCTATGCGTGATTGTTTAAATGGGTGGGTGGGTGATGATGGACTGCTGCAGCAACTGGTAACGTAACTCACTGGTTTGTATCAAAAAGAAAGCAACATTAGAGGCGCTTAATGAGGAAATTTTCTCAATCAACAAATCCTGTTTACTTTGATTTTTTCTAGAGTTAAAATGAAAAAAACAAAAACAAAAAACAGAACAAATATATCGTGGACTTTCGAATGCACATCAACTAGTCTGTGTGTAATGCATGAGAATTAATTGGTGTCATACTGTTATTATCTTTCATTATTATCATCAAGGAAAACTATTGTGCCTTTAAACAAAAGCAAATATATCAAAACCTGAGATTACAATTTTGTGTCAATCTTTTTTTCTTTTTGTCGACAAAGTGAACATTTTTATGTACACTTTTTTTGTTTGTTTATGTTTCTATCCAACCGTCTGTTTAATATTCACTTTATTGTTTACTTTTGGTATCTTGGATACATATTTAAGTTGGTGTGCCTTAACCCTTCTATGTATTTGCTCATTTATTATTTATAGGTTGTTAAGTATTTTTACTGTGTTTTCCCCTGCCTTTTTGAAAAGAAAATAACATATATATTTTTGCACTTTAATGATTATCAATAACTATTGGACATGTCTGTTTAGTTAGTTTTTGACTTGGCGTGATTTTTTAAATTTTCGCCAAAGTTGGATTTATAGTGATGATTTAAACAAACAAAAGTGCATGCATGTATATACATACTTGCATACTTCACGTGTGTGTTTGTCCGTGTGTTTTAATCATATAATCTTTGTAGACAAGTTGTTTTATACTTAATTAACATTATTTTCCTTCTTTCTTTTGTGAAAGGTGTTTTCCGTTTCTTGTAGGCAAACTAATTACTAACGGAAGTCTCGTCGTTATAACATAAGTAGTAAATTAATGACTGTCTATATTTTGAATGGACTGTTTACCCAAAAAGACATTGGATCCTTTTTAATACTTTGAACTATTTCATGAACAAAGTGTATTTTGAAAATTCTTTTATTGATTTTTTATTCTTCACTATTATGTGTTTGTAAAATAGACTTTCATTTATAGACTAATAATCTTGCATGATGTGAGAATGAATGTCTTTCTTCCTTTTGTGTTTTATGCTGGTGTGCTCTCTAACTCGCGACTTCATGATCTTTGTATGTTTGTGTGTATACTACAGACGCTTGTTCATTTGTGTGTGTGTGTGTGTGGAATATTAGAACTGAATTTGTTCTTTATTTATTATAAACTGCATTTATCGTCAATAAACATGTAATCATGTTTTTTTCTCTCTTCAAATACACCTGCCTATTCACTCAGTGTTACAAAAGTGAAACTGTCACTTCATCAGCTCAATCACGATTATGATTTTATGCAATTTTGTGATTTTAGGGATTAAAATAAACAGTTTCGTATTTCAATTTCTGATTTTTGTTGTTGTTGATGTTACTGTTAGTGTAGGCAGTTTAAGTCATCGGAATGGTGTTTCACCTTGCCTATTATCATCATTATGTAGTTTGTGGGAGGGAAATCTATGAGAACACTATTTGATTTTGACTTCATACTAGTCGAAGTACAGAACCCTGTACAGAAGTGGAACACTTGAAGTTACCACACTGCGCGTAATACACAAAGGTAGTGAAAAAACATAGAAAATTAATCTGATGCTCGCTAGTGACTAGCTACAGAATGGAGTTTCCTGGAGTTCAAGTGAGAAGTTGTGACCAGTGAGGTCCAATTAGATGTCACGTGTGTGGATGGATGTTTCATCAACGACAACGGTTGGGGTCGCGCTGAATCACGAATTGGTAGAAGTTGGAATTCATGAGCCACTGAATCCGGTCCCAGTGGCTGAATGGTATACGAGCTTGCTTTGTAACCGGAAGGTCCTGGGTTCGAACCCCTGTGGTGCGTGCGTCTGTCTGTCTGTTTTCGACATAGAACTTTGCACAAATGTGCGGAAGTTCAAGTCGCCACATTCCGTGTAGCACGCGAAGCAAGACAAGAAAGTACAAGAAAAGCATAATAGAAACAGTGAGCAGAGGTGTGAGACAAAGGAGTAATAAAGAAAAACAAAACAGTTTCATTGAAGATCATAAGTCACAGGAGTGGATGCATCTGTACCAGCCATTTAGAACGATTTTGAGCCATGTCACCAATTGTTTCCAACCATAGATTTTTACCGTCCCGAGGACCCAGCCTGGAAGTCTACACCTTTCTACGTGGCTTAGACCAACTGTGGATTTCATTGACTGATGCCATGTTTTTGTTTGACCGCCGCTAGCTTTTTTCCAGCCTGACCCTATATCCGCTAACATTGCTCGTCGAGGGAGGCGATGGCTTGGCATACGTAACACATGTCCTAACCATCTCAGTCTTTGTAGCTTCACGACTTCGTCGATTGGTTTCCCCTGTTTACCTAGAACTCTAAGCCTAACCTCCATGTTGCTCACCTTATTATGCCACTTTACACGGGAAATAGAGCGCAGGTACCTATGATCAAAGACAACTGGCCGGGCTTTTCATGTCTTCCACTCTCAGTGGCCAGGTCTCACAGCTGGCCATAAAGGAGGACGGAGCGGACTGATGAGCAGTACAAACGCCCTTTGGTCGACAGTCGAACATCTCGTCTACGCCAGAGTCGGCGTAAACTGGCAAATGCGAAACGAGCCCCTTGTATTCGTGCTGAGATTTCGTCAGAGATCAACCCGCTGGCACGGGCTAATGGTACTTCCCAGATAAGTGAAGCGGTCAACGTGCTCTACCACTTCACTTCCTATTTTTAAACTAGGCGTCGATGTAGTCCAGTCCTGTAACATCATCTTGCATTTGGCGGGAGCGAATCGCATTCCAAACATTCGTAGATTGCGGCTCAAGGTGTTTAGAAGACTCTGCATTTCGTCAGCGTCTTCGCCTAGAAGGACTATATCGTCTGCATATTCCAAGTCAACGAGATTATTCCCTGGTAGCAAGTCAATCCCTGAGTCGCTGAAGTCACTTAGGGTTAAGTCCATTAACACATCTATGATGAAGTTGAATAGAAAAGGGGATAATGGGCATCCTTGACGGACACCACTGGTCGTCATCAGTTCAGATGACAGCTCGCCGTAAGCCCTCACCTGGCTGTATGAGTACGAGTACAGTGCCTTAATCAGTGCGTGCCCCTGTGGTGCGTGCGTACTGGTAATGATTCCCATGCTAGGATGAAATAGCTGTCCAGTACTCTAGTGCTGGTTTTCAATGGTTCTCTAACTGATATCAATCCGTTATCAACTCGTAAAACATGTTCAACAGAAATATAATAAGCAAAATTGTAAGGAAGAAAGACCAGTAACATGGAATAGGGTTTCATACGGATATAAGCAATCACAGAGAGTGAATGCATCTACGCCACTAAGAACAATTTTGAGCGACATCACCAGTTGTCTCCAGCCATTGGTTCTTAGCATCTTGAAGACCCCAACCAAACAATCCTACACCTTCGCATATAGCTGGGACCAACACTCAAGGACTTCATGGATTGACATCAGTTTTTGGTTTGACCACCCCTAACCCTTTTCCAACCTAATCCAATGTCTGGTGACATCGCTCATGGAGAAAGGTTATAGCTCGGTATATCCTATCCATCTGAATCGGTGTATCTTCGCAACCTCATCGATTGATTTACGCTCCTTACTTAACACTGCGCCCGACCCCAGTATCATACCACTTAATACGAGACATAGAACGGTAACATTTGTGGTCAGCGACAGCTAGTGTCTTCATTACCTCCATTTTCAGTGGTCATGTTTCACATCTATAAAGAAGAACAACGTGAACAGCTGCACGCTAAACATGTTCTTTGATCGATAGCCGGATATCACGTGTATACCAGAGATGATGTAAGCTGGCAAATACCGAACGAACCTTCCGCATCCCTGCTGAGATTTCGTTAGCAATCAGTTCATTGGGATTGACTGAACTTCCCCGGAAAAACCAAAAGCCCTATCTGACATGGTATGCTTGGACATATTATAAAATCTTAAGTATTCAATACTGCTTGAGTAATTTTACTACTACACATGATCTTATTACTCTAAAATTTTATGCAAAGTGTTTGCGGAAATTATCACAATTATTAACCTTTCGAACACTGAATCCAAAAAATACAATCTTATTGACAGATAATACACATAACTCACTGTTTGGATTTGTGGAATTTTTAAACATAAACACATCTATAATTGTATATATTGTTGGATTTATATGTTCAAGTTGCTCCAAGTCAGTGAGTTTATGGTTAAGATATCATTTTAGTTAAATGTACTGAACTATATTGCATGTTGTCTTATTGTATAGTTGTCGTCGCTTTTTGCCCTTTTTTCTGTGAACTGTTTCCTTTGTTGATGTTGTTCTCATTGTTTGTCCGTTATTTTCTGATTTTGAGGGGAGCAACCCAAAAAGTTGCTTCTCTCTAAACTTTTACTTAATGTAATCATTCTTTTCTCAGGCGTGAGGCTAGCAACCCCACCCTGTAAACAAAAATTGCTACAGAAACTTCAGTATGTTGAACCTCCTTGCACCAAAAGAAAAAGTCTGTGTAGGAACATGGAACGTCCGAACTATGTACGAGACTGGGAAAGCTGCCCAGATCGCCAACGAGATGAAAAGATACGGAATACAAGTGCTGGGAATATGTGAGAGCAGATGGAATGGGAGTGGACTCACCAAATTGTCAACAGGTGAGTCAGTGATCTACTCCGGTCACCCAGAAGATAACCACACGCACACCGAGGGCGTGGCTATCATGATGTCACCAACGGCAACGAAAGCCCTGATACAATGGGAGGCGATTTCGTCCAGGATAATGACCGCCAGGTTCAACTCCAAAGGAAGGAAAGTGTCAATCATACAATGTTATGCACCCACAAACAACGCAGACCTCGAGAAGAAAGAAGAATTCTACAGGCAACTACAGGCAACAATGGACAATACTCCAGCTGGCGACATGAAAATAC